AAGGGGGAGGCGAATTCAAAGGCAGCCTTTGCTGCCCTCCACTCGCATTCGTCGGGATACCCTCGCACCCTGTTAAATGACTGTGAGCAGCGCTTTGCCCCTCCCGTCAATACTTCAAATCCGACCGAGTCGTTGACAGAGCTTTCGGCAGTGTGGCGCCAAAGGGCATATCCTGGGGCCTCCAGAACTTGGCTGGAGCAGATGGGGGGGCACCTGCGACGCGGCTCGATCTGGGATCGGATGTTCTTCATGCCAGCAGTGCTGAGGCACGGGCGATGCTGTGCGATCTTGGGGCAAAATCAGTCGGCATCGAATCGGAAAAGCGGCTCGAATCAGAATGCGCCTCGGATCGAGCCGCGTCGGCACGGAGTCGGTATCGAATCGGATCGGCCTCGCCAGGAGGCACAACAGCGCCATGCAAGCTTCGGACGGCATCGGATCGTCGGAACCGGATCGGATATGGCCGACCAACATCAGCATCGAATGGATATAAAAGGACCCTGTGTTGGGACCCCGCCTACTGGACAAGCGCGTTCAGCTGCTTGCAGAGTAACTACTCGCAAATGACCTGGATCCGTCGCAGGGAGTTTGCGACCTAATACACGGAGGCAACCATGTTTTTTATCAGACGTTTGCGAGTAGGCACTTTGCGAGTACTGGAACGCACTCGGTGATCTACTCGAGCCCCATGCGGAAGGCCTCCAATATCGCACAAAGGCGCTGGCGGCGACGCCAGAGTGCCACGGGCCCGTTGTGCATAGCCCGGCACCTCCTGCGGCCGCCTCACAAGGGCGCGTATGTCGCGCAAGGCGCTGCCAATGGCGCTGGATGCCTGCGGGGCTCAGCCCAGCAAGACCTGCAAGCGCGCGACTCCTCCTCCTCCTCCTCCTCCTCCTCCTCCTCCTCCTCCTCCTCCGCCTCCTCCTCCTTCCTCCTCCTCCTCCTCCTCCTCCTCCTCCTCCTCCTCCTCCTCCTCCGCCTCCTCCTCCTCCTCCCCTCCTCTCCTCCTCCTCCTCTCCTTCTCTCCTCCTCCTCTCTCCTCCTCCTCCTCCTCCTCCTCCTCATCCTCCTCCTCCTCCTCCTCCTCCTCCTCCTCCTCCTCCTCCTCCTCACACTCCTCCTTCTCCTCATCCACCTCCGCTTTCTTCATCCTCGCCCTCATTTGCCTTCAACCCTCGTCTCCCCCGCATCCGTTTGTTTACTCGAATATACTGCTATTCCGCAACCTGACTGGCCGATATCTACTCCTAGTCCTACTCTGCCACCCTGCCGAATTGAAAGCCATATGCAAAATCGATCATCCTGCTTTCACCATGGACATTAAGCCGTCCACGTTACCACATGAGTGGCAGGAATGGGACTGGGCGCAGACCCCGCTCGGACGAGCGAAATGTTGCTATCGCCTAGGCGCCGCGCTCATTTTCCAGAGGCGCGGCGGGCATTGTTTGCACGCCAAGTCGTCGACGCGCAAGCGAACGAAGATGTTGTTATCGCCTCGACGCCGCGCAGAGTTCGCCCGAAAGTGGAGCCCCCGCCTTGGGGCGGCGCATACTCTTCACTCGCCACGTGCTTGGTGCCCCCAACGCGAGCGGGCGGCTTGTCCCCCTCGCCCACGCTCCGTGCGCAGTTCGTTCCGGGGTGGCGTTCCCGCGCGGACGCTCCGCATGGCTCGTTCGCCGAATCGCATGAGGAGGGCCACGGCTGCGGGGCCACGCGAGCGGGCGACACACTGATCTCGCTCAACTCACCCGCACCTCGTGCGTGAAAGTGGCAGTGCTGCGTCGGCGCGGCGCATGCTTCGTCTTCGCCGCGTGCATTGGAAGGTTTGCCGCTCCCGCCCTTGGGCGGCCCGCGTACTTTTCTGCCGCCTGGTCGTCGGAAGCGGGACCGCGCGCGAGCGCGTTCGGCTCGTTAGATGGGAATGCGTGTCAATCCCACTATCAAGTGGTGCCACACGTGGCTCTTATGTGATGGGAGGGAGGGTGGGAATGAGCGGGGCCATCTGACTTGCTCGGCCTGGCTTAAACTGGATCCCCGTCGTGCTCCTCCCCCTGTATCCTCGCCGCACATCAATCCAACTATCCATCGATCCCTCTTCATCCTCATCCACTTCCCGCCATTCTTAAGTCGGGCCTGTCCCTCTACAGGAGGAATATTCAAAAAAAATCCAAAAATAGTTTTGGTGCGATGTTTTGACCATTTTTGGATAGGTTAGGAAATTGTTTGACTATTTTTACTTGTTTCGTCCAAAATCGGACTGTAGGGGGACAGGCCCGACTTACCACTACTCCGCGTGCCTCCTTCCATAATGGGATGATCAATACTGTCGAGCACCCAGACGTGTTGGTCGGGCGGGCCAGGCGTGTCGCCTGACACTCCCCCCACCAAAGAGCATCCTGAGAACTGGACCCCTCCGCGGATTCCCAACAGCACTGATCGAGGACGAATCGGTTTCGAGATGCTGCTCTCGCCCTGAAGCCGCGCACATCCGCCCTAAAGGGTTCCAAGATTTATGTGGATAGAGGAGTAGTTTTCAGAACGTGGCCCTCGGATAGTGCCACGCACACTCGTCTGAACAGTCTACAACAGTTTGGCATGGAGGACGGAAGCGTTCCGATATGAGCTCACTGCATCAATATTCATGTCCAGAATATTGAGGCTGCATTCTCCTTCCCTCAGGAAACTTCAACGCGAGCCACCCCTCGAGGCCAAGAGTTGTCGACTCACCTCCGCGACGTAGTGAAGGTCGAGCGGAAACGAGACGCGCGCGGGCCAGCCCAGATCACGCGGCGTGGAGATACTGGATCCACCCCTGGGAGGTGGACAGCACATCCCGCGAGGGGGCGGTCGCGAGGGGAGCAGCGGGTGAAGGGGACGAGAGGGGGAGGCGGGACGGGGGAGGAGCAGTGCGCAGTCCAGACGGCAAAGAGGGGGCGCACAGGCGGACCACAACGGCGGAGCGCACACAAGACGAGGCAGCAGACAGTACGGGGGTCCGGTGCGCAGGAAAGCACAGAGGGCTAGACAGCGACCGCAGGCGAACGCCGGAAGGCGAGGAACAGCGGTGCAGGAAGCGGCCGCAAGGCAGGAGCGGCCGACCCGCCAGGGCGCGGGACGAGAAGTGCCCCAGGGGGGGCGGCAACGGTGCAGAAGGCGGCCGTCCAAGGCGCAGGCGGCCGGGGGGGGAGAGCACGACAAGAGCGGACAGGCAGCGAGGGGAAGCAGTCGACACCCACACACACACACACACACACTCCGAAAGCGATCGTAGCATTGCCAAACGGAATAAACTTGACAACCATTCGTGTCTCAATGTGAAAACTCCCAAAAATTCTACCAGTGCGTTTTGGCTGAAAAATTCGGATACAACCATAGCTAACAGTATCATGATTGGCATACGAACCTTCATTGTCTTGTTCGAACAAACGACAGAAAGAGAAGGGGGAGAGACAAAAACGAACATGGTAAGATAACCCAAAAAACGGATGCCACAAAAAACGGAAGCATCGCACCGCGCCACTCGCGGCTTTCTTGTACGTGCGAGCGCATTACAGTAGCCCATGCATCGCAACTAGAACCATGCACGCACGTCGCGCGCGTTCTAGGTTCCTCCGAAGAGCCTTCCAAACAACCCCAACGGGATCCGAACCGCATGGGGTGCCTGAGACTCCTCCGAAACGTCCTTAACCTGGAACAAATAAATGGAGACCTCCACAAAGATACTACAGAACCCAACGGAGCTCCGCAGACCTTTGGGGACTACTCCCAGGTGCAGGGTGTGGTCGTCTTAGCACGTCTTGCTACTCTGGTCTCTTGCGCCGTCTCGGGGCTCTCTTGACCACTTTCACAAGCTACTTCGAGAGGTCTTGAGGTTCTCCTGGAGCGTTCTGGGGAAGTCTAGGAGTGTTGCTCGGGCGCTGTGGGGCCGTCTTGAGACTTTCTGTATGTAGCGCTCCCAAAGCCATGTGAAAGAGAAAACCCTGGGAACAAACACGCAAGAAGTACCACTGGTTGCTGCCCGATGTTGGGTGTTTGGGGCATCTCTGGTAGCCTATTCTTGGCGCCTATCCTAAGGCATCTTGCTTATTCTTGGTGCCGTCCTGGAGACACCGTGGAGAATCTTGAGCCATCCTGGGCCGCCCCGACGGCCTCAGGCCAGCATCCAGACCCATTTGGGAGTACTCTTGAGGCAGACAAATTCCACCCTAAGATCCGAAAACGGGGTCCGGATCCCAGGAAACAGAGGGGGTATCTTGGAAGAGAGACAGAAAGAGAGAGAGAGAGAGGAATGAACCGCCTGTAAGCCCGAGAGCCCAGTAGCCAAAATGTACCACATCTGCATATGTTTGTACACACAGTGCACGTATGGTGTATACACGTATAAACATACGTAACATGTGCATATGTTCACGTGCTCATATCCACCGTGCCGCAGGCACCGAGAGGTGTGCCCTCAGGTCTCTTCGAGCTATGGGCGTTGAGCACTCTGAATCCTCTGTCTAGGAGCCCAGACCGCAGCTCACGGATTTCTCGGAGCGTGGCGCATGACGCTTGGGGCACGCCAAAAAAAGGAGTATTGGAAACCTACCTACTCGCTTTTCGGTGTGATTAGCCCCGCTGAGGGAACCTAAATTGAAGACACACGAGCCGTCTTTGTGCCCAAGATCTCCCCCTCCCGCCGAGGGGGAGGGGGGGGGGACGGGCGTGCGGCCGCGGGCCTGGCCGCTTTTGCAAAAGCCCTTCCCGCGGGCGGCGGACGCCTCAGGCGGCGCTGGGGGTGCGGGCGGGCAAAGGGGGGAGAGGGGAAGACACGGGGGGCAGGGAGGACGAGGGGAGCTCTGCCAACCAAGCAGCTCCGTCAACAAAACGTGGCTCGTCAAAGAATGGGGTGGGAGAAGAGGACGACGACGACCACAGAGGAACTGTACGAGTAGGCAAGCAGCAGGAAATCTAAAAAAACAGGTCGCCAGGCCACGCATGCACTCGTCCTCCTCCTCCTCCTCCTCCTCCTCCTCCTCCTCCTCCTCCTCCTCCTCCTCCTCCTCCTCCTCCGCCTCCGCCTCCGCCTCCGCCTCCGCCTCCGCCGCCGCCTCCTTCCCCTCCTTGTCCCACGTTCCCATACTGTCCCACGCCTCCCTGCCCATCCTCCCCTCCCTCTTCCTTATCCCGCCGAGAGAAGGCCCCACCCCGCGCCATGCACTGCGAGGACCCCGTCGAGAACGTCAGCACGCCGTCCAGAGATACGTGCCCAGCGACGGCGAACGGCATTCCCCGCGCTTGAAACTCGGGCGGCGAAGGGAGGGAAAGTGAGCGAAGGACGAGAGGCAGCAGCACAGCAGCAGGAGCGGACAACGCGGAGGGCGAGGGGGGGGAGGAGGAGGAGGAGGAGGAGGAGGAGGAGGAGGAGGAGGAGGAGGAGGAGGAGGAGGAGGAGGAGGAGGAGGAGGACCCCTATGCAGCCTCCGAGGGGCTGCGCCGACTGATGGCGGTGGACATGAAGCGCTGCTGGCGCTGGGCGCGACAGAGCCACACAAGGACGGCTCAGCGCCAGCGCCACTCGGAGGACACGGCCCCGCACCGGGCGGGAGGCTCAGGGGTGCGACGGGCGGCCGTGGGCCATCGTTTCCGACGGGGCGAGCCCGCGAGCCCGGTACTTGCTTCCCCGCCCCGGAGTCCGGGCGGACCACGAGGCACGGCGCGGCACCGCACGGCACCTCACACCAAAGACCCACGCGAAGCGGAGACACGGCACCACACGGCTCCGCCACCGCACGGCACGGCACGCCGGCACGGCACGCCGGCACGAAAGCGGGGGCCGCCGAGCAGCCACGAAGCCCCGAAGCCACAAATCGGAACCCGTGAGCCTGCTGGGTCCTCCTGCCCCCAAACCCTACGCGTTTACGGGTCATGATGAGGAGGAGGAGGAGGAGGAAAAGAAAGATAAGGATGACGAGAATAGGGAGGATGAGGAGGAGGACGAGGAGAAAGTGGATGGAGAGGAGGAGGACGAACAATAGGAAGAAAAAGCATAAGAATACCTGTTCGACGCGAGTACCCCCACACGTGCATCAATTATATAACACATTTTCTTGAGTGTCTGAACAATTGGCCACAGGTGTGAGCGAGTCTGAACACGAGCGGCTGGTGTGCATGGGTGTAGGTACGAGTGAGCGTGTATATCTTTGGCTGGGTATCAGCAACGCTGGGTATGAGTGTGCTTGAAATTGACTGGAAAGCAGCACCGTAAATTGTGAACCCCTGGGGGTCGCAATTTGGGCGCCACGGGGGTCCACATATGGCAACTCTCTAGTCGGCTCCCCCTTGGGAGGTCCGAGCGCGCACACGCCCCATAAGGATGGTACCAGGGCCCGGAAATAGACGTCGTGACAATGAAGTCTCGTCGACACATACCCGCCTTTACCAACAACCCTCTTGCTGCCGTGGTTCCCGTGATTGCACGAGCACTTCTGGCAGTTCTTGGCGCGCCCAGTACTGGGCTGTTGTTACACAACCGTTCGTCGCACCTTGTCTCGCTTGTCCCCCGCGGCGTCCACGTCCGTTGCCCTTGCAACATATGTTCGCTCAGTTTCTCGCTCACTTTCTCAGTTTATGTCCACTGTTGCAATTGGGATGTAAATTCACTTCACGTATTGGGCCTTTCTGGCCTCATTGCCAAATACATGTTGACCGATACTGTCACCCTGGTGACTGCTGGAATATAAATTCTGTATTACCCGGTGAGACGCCAGTCCACTGATTTCATTGAATATGCTAATTCGCCTCTGGATTACACTCCGTCTAGCTTTCCCGCGAACACGCACAGCAGGTATTCATCCGACTTGTGCAACTCGTGGCCACTGCATTCGTCATCACCCGTTGCGTCATACTTGACCCTGGCCTCTTGCGAGGCACGATCTTATTCTGGGTACACCAGCCGTCAACGTCATAAGTTTAGCATGGAATCGCCGTCTATGTGTTGCAAAGCTCCACCAATGCTGTCCAGTTTCGCGCTCATCAAAACGTACCGCCTGGCGGTTCCATCTGTTCACTTCGGCAAACGCATTGAACAACTTGTCATTCCACTCGCGGAATTTGGCTCGGTCACCTGCGAACGGTTTCAACGATTGAGCGGATGTTCACTCGCTGATGGGTCGTTGATAACTTCCAGTTTGCGTGTCCCCTGCTTCTCAATCAGTTTGCCAAAAATGTCCTGCATGTTGAACTTGCCCATGGCTACTATACCATGGCCTGCCACTCTTTTTGTTGAATGATCTGGTCTCTTTCTCGCGCCAATTCTCTCTGGTCTATCCCGCTTAGCAATGCCGCATACATTTGCCAATCGCCTGCGCCGGTATCAACGATCCCCTTGGATCAACCACTTTGTCATATTGGTGGGCTCTTTGCTTGACAGAACCAGTCAACCATAACATTTAGGATAGTTGTCTTGGAAAACTGACTTATTCACTCTCCGCTGCATGCCTGAAGCCTTCGCAGAACGTATGCAAGCGGAAAATCACAGACGACCAGGTTGTACATTCAGTCTGAGCGAACGTCGCATAGATGGAGCCAGGCAGCGACGTGCGGGCCACCACCTCTTCCTCCTCCTCCTCCCTCCTCCTCCTCCCCCTCCTCCTCCCGCTCCGCCTCCTCCTCCTCCTCCCCCTCCCCCTCCCCCATCCTGGCACCCACGAAGGCCCCGCTGCCGCACGAGACCCGCGGAAGCCCCGCTGACCGCACGGCACGGCGCTGTCAGGCTCGGCACCGCGCCCCGCTGCCGAGGCCGAGCGTCAGACCGCGGGGGCGGGGCCTGGGGGCGCGACGTGGCTGCCCTGCCAAGGCCGCGGAGAGCGCGCTCGGAGCCCCGTAAGGGGGGGGGGGCTACGCGCGTTCCCACTCGGAGGGGCAGAGGACGCTGACCGTGGACCCTGGCCAAGACTGAACGCGGAAACGTCGGGGCCGATCTTGGCAGTCGCCCATCTTGGTCATCCTCCATCCGTGGACCGCCCTCGCAAATCGAAAGGTCGGCGTCGACAAGATCCAGCGACATAGTGGTCACGGTCATCGCGTTTCGTCCCCCGACCCATGCCCGCGGCCCACCGCCGGCGGGCCTGGGCGCTCCGAGGGACAACGGGCCAGAAAACCGAGAAAGCACCAGGAGAAACCAAGAGATCCGCCCAGCCAGTCGAGAAAACAAAGAAACGTATTGGTCTTTTTAGGTTTCTGGATGCATGTCTTGGTCTGTCCTTGTGTGTTCTTGGCGTCCTGGCCTGCCCGCGGCCCGCCGTCGGCGGGACTGGGCGCTCGGAGGGACCACGGGGAGGCCAGCAAACCAAGAAAGCCAAGAAACCACAAGGAAAAACCACGAGGAAAAACCAAGAAACCACGAGGAAAAACCAAGACACCACAAGGAAAAACCAGGAAAGCCAAGAAACCACGAGGAAAAACCAAGAAGCCCGCCCAGCCAGCCAAGAAAGCCGAGAAAAGCATTGGTTTGCCTGGGTGACTTGATTGGCTGGGCGGATTTCTTGGTGTCCTTGTGCTGTCGTGGTCTTCTTGGTGTGATGGCCTGTCCAGGGCCCCTCCGAACGCCCAGGCCCACCGACGGTGGGCCGCGGGCAGGCCCGAAAACCAAGAAAACCGAGAAAGGCAAGAAACCACAGGGAACAACCAAGAAATCCGCCCGGCCAGGCCTTGTGTTGCGCGGCAGTCCGGGTGCATGTCTTGAGCGTGCCGTGTGGGCTCGTGGTGATCCTGGCTTGCTTGGCTTTCTGGCCTCCTCGCGGCCCGTCGTCGGCGAGGCGGGGCGCCCTGAGGGAACACAGAGAGGCCAGCAAACCAACAAATCCAACAAACCCAGAGAACACAGAGAGAGAACACAGAGAGGGAACACAGAGAGGGAATACAGAGAGGGAACACAGAGAGGGAACACAGAGAGGGAACACAGAGGCCTGAGGGAACACAGAGAGGGAACACAGAGAGGCCAGCAAACCAACAAATCCAAGAACATTCAGAAGACCAAGGGAACCCATGTGATTATTGGATGGATTGGCTGTCTGGGCGGATTACTGTGGCGTTTTTTGTGTTGTCGTGGCGGTGTACCCTGGTTGTCTAGGAGGAGTGGCAGGAGAAGGAGGAAGAGGAAGATGATGCGAAGGAGTGGTCCAGGCCACCCCCCTAGGCGCGAAGATAATCGCGCTTCGCTGGTAACCCTTCTCCCCGAGGGCGGTGGCCCTCTCGTGTGCCATCATGACGAGCCCAGTACTTGCCATACACTGAGAGAGCGCGCGCGAGAGAGAGAGAGAGAGCGAGAGAGAGCGAGAGAGAGAGAGAGCGTGTATGCGCGTGTTTGTGAAAGCGAGAGAGAAAGAGCATGTGTGCGCATGAGAGACAGGGTATGCGCACGCGCACACACACACACACACAAACCTACACACACACACACACGGACGGACGCACGCACGAGCGCACGCACGCACGCACGCACGCACGCATGCACACGCGCGCACACACACAAACAAACAGACCAACCAACAAACAAACAAACAAACAAACAAACAAACAAACACGCACACATACATACAAACGCGTACCCCCTCGATTTCTCTAATTTACGCGCACACTCACACACACACACACACACTCACTCTCTCTCTCTATACATATATATATATATCTTTCTCTCTCCCTCTCTTTCTCACTCCATCTCTCTCACACGCCCCCCCCCCCCGCTAAAACACACAGGGGCCCTCGCCTGCACACGCGCTCTCTCTCTCTCTCTCTCTCTCGTTCTCTCTCTCTCTCTCTCTCTATCACTCTCTCTCTCCCTCTCCCTTTCCCTTTTTCTCACTCACACCCACACCCTCACCCACGCACAAGCACGCACACGCACCCTCCCTCCCTCCCTCCCTCCCTCTCTCTCTCTCTCTCTATCCCTCTTTCTCGCTCTCACTCTCTCTCCCTCTCTCTCTCTTCCTCCCTCGCGTTCCCTCTCACGTGGCCCCTCACGTGCGGACACACACTCTCACATTCAGCTACACACCACGCACGCTCCCCCTTAAACACACACACACACACACACACACACACACACACACACACAAGAAACAAGAAAAAATAGCCTGACGAAGAACCCAACCAATGCAACTGCGAATGCCGCATTGTGGGTACCGCTTTCGGTGGAGCTCCCTATGGGGCCACGAAGCGTGCGAGGGATGCGCCGAAACCGGTGGCGCGGACGCATTCGGACCCTGCCACTGGAGCCTTCGGTGGAGCTCCCTATGGGG